CAGAGATACATAAGATTCTTAAAGCTTCGTTTGTAAAGAGTCTTTTGTAATATTATAAACGGGAATTACATTTAAAAGTACTCTAAACTGTATAAATTCAATTGAATAAAATTGACCAATCACGAGAAAGTTAGCCTATATGTTATAATAAATTTATTAGATGGGTCATAACCAGGTTGGTTTCAGGTCATTCGGGTCAACCCGATCGGAGCACTAATCGAGGTTATACTGTACTATAATTCTTAAATACAATAAAAACTAGAGATTTTATCAGTTTTAACTATAGATTTAAACCAAGCTTAACAGCTATGGTTTTAAATTATAACTTAAATCCGAGTAAAAAAATAGCCATAACTCGAAGTTATTGATTCTAATTTTAGCTTAACCCTATTTTTTAAAGCTAATATTTTGGATTGTTATTATTTAGAAAATTAGCTGGTCAGATAATCTAAGAGTTTTTAAGGCAGAAGGCAAAATCGAATTAAAATATATAGTAAAAAGTAATATTTCGAACTTACAAATTTAGATTATAGTTTAAGCTATAATTTAAGCCAGTTTAAGCCATAGCTTAACTAGCTTAAGACGTAACTTAAACTATATCTTAAGCTATGACTTAACTAATTTAACCATGGCTTATATTATGTCTTGGCTATAAGTTAAGCCATATTAACAGCTTATATGATAGCTACTAAAAACATGGCTTAAGCTTTAGCAATAACTTTATGAGCTAAGCGCTGATTACATCCTTACTAAAAACTTGTAAACTTTAATAAAACTATATTACGATATTTACTACTAGTCAACCAGGTTTATTTTCAAATTATTAAATAATACCCTTACTACTTTAAGTTTAAAGTTAATTTTCGTTATCTTCTATAATAAAAAAAACTACAAAGTTAAATAATTCATGTGATATTCGTTAAATATCTATAATTTATCGTGCTATTGTCTTACTAGTTATCCTAACACCAAACCTAATCATGGTTTTATCACTACTTTAACAATAAACTTTAAACTTTTACAACTTGAAGTATTTGACATGCTAATAATCTATTCACTATTTCATATTAATTATATATACTACCTATTTATCTATTTCATATAATTAACAAATGAAAAATAACAAAATGTGTTAAAACAAATTTGATCATAGCGATAGAGTTAAAAAAATAAACTATACAAATCAATCTCGCAAAAAGAAACTACTGTTAACTACTTTAAATATATTATACATTAAATATATAAGAACAATTTCAAAGTTCAGAATTAATTCACGATCTAATCTCTGACTAGGTAAAATCAAGTTTCATCATTGTTTCGTCAATTATCTGTATTTCAAAAAATATAATAATCATACTCATATATCATATTTTCAACATTCAAAAGGAATTAGTCAATGATAAAATTCAAGTTAATTGCAATACGTAGGAATATTTGGCAGAAATTTCTTTGTAAGTAGTTACTAACCTTTATTTATAAAGGTATATTCACGATGGTATAGTCAAGTACTAATTAACCTTCAATTAATAGTGCAGTTCATAAATGGAAATAAGAAATAACTTGGAGGATTCATCATCGTTTCTACTTTCAGGATCTGTTCGAGATAATGTCGTACGGAAAAAAGGAAGACCAAAAAAGTCCACAGCATCAAGTCTTCCTAAATCATCGAACAATGGAAATTTGGTAATGAAAATAAGAACGAAACCACAAAGCGCCCGTGTGATATTGGTACCTCCGAAATCAAATGAGAAGGGTGCTGTAAAGAGAAAGAGGGGAAGGCCACCTAAAAATCGCACATTAGTTTCACCTATATCATCGAACGTAGAAGTTGCCGTACCAAGAATGAGAGGAAAGCCACCAAAATATCATTCAGATATAATACCATTTAATAGTAAAAGTGTTATGCCTAAAAGGAGAGGAAGACCACCAAAAAGTCGTGCAATATCAGAACCTTCCGAAACATCAAGCAATGATAAAAGACAAATAAGGACACCTAAATATATCAAAAAGGAATTTGGTACTAATTCTCGAATTCAAGTAAAATGCCCACGAAGTGAATCTAGGGTAGTATCAGTGCTCATTGAACAGAAAGCACCCTACATGATTAATGAATGCAACTCTATTGATTCTAACGATAATGAGGTAAAATGTCACTTTAATACACTCACATTTTCTATAAATTATATCCGAAATATCTGAAATATTAAAATTATAGAAAACGGAAGCATTTACTCAAGTCAATGAGCCCGTAGAACCCTCAGCAATCATTTGGTTGCCAAAACAAAATGAGAGTACAGGAGCATTTCGCATTGGAGCTAACGACGTCCTGATGGGTATTAATCGAAATAACAGTTATATTGAAGATACTTTAAATTCTATAACCGAACAAGAAAATGTTTCGGATCATTCTCTGGCATTCGATGCTCCTTCAGTTAATATACTTGATCCATGGTTTGATTCTTATTTCGGGTTTTCTACATTTAACGATGATCTTGTCTAGTTATTTTACAGGCGCAATAGTTTATTTCTATAGTAGAAAATTTCCCATAAATACGTATGTATTTTTTTTTCTTCCCATTTTTTTTTTTAAGCGTTGATGCAAAATAGTATGTATACTATATAATGTTTCGGTAGTTGAATGCAAGAGCTTTTTTTGGACATTTTGTTATAAAAATTTGCTGAATTTGTAGTACGTAGCGATTAGATTTTTGTATCAAACTTATTTTTGTTTAGATTATGTAAAGAGTTTAAATGGAAAATCCATATAGTAAAAATTACACAAAGAAGACTTTTAATTAAGACATGAAAGGTAGTCAACGATGCAAAATTTGAAGTAGTGGGTTTCATTAACTGCACAACACTTTAAACATTAGATCTGTCTAGTACGTAGGCAAATTTGCCTAACATTCTTGACAAGAATCGGACCATTTTTAGCGAAACGTACGCACGTAGTAACATTCATTCGTTAATTCACCACACTCTGCTCTTACAACCATTAGTAATTAAAACATCTTAGTGCTAAACTCAGGTAAGAATTTCAATTGCAATAAATAAATAACACATTCCAGATAATTAGCAAAAACTTCTTATCGGATTTTACAGTCGACTTAGATAATTAGCAAAAACTTTTTACCGAATTTTCTAGTCGACTTTTCATGTTGAGATATTGAATATGAACATTTAATTTGAAAAAACACCAAGGTTTTTGACTCGAATAAACAACACAGGTATGTAAATGAGTACGATCATATAGAATATTCATATGGCAATATTTTGAACTTTCGAAATATACTGAAAGTATCCTCACCAATTACTATGTGGGAAATTTATAAAAATTATAAAAATTTACATAATCTTGCCAATTTTTTATTTTAAAATAATAAACTAGTTCCTAACATTAAATAACAATTTATGATAACAAAGTTTAAAGTTTAACTCAAATAACATTACTCCCGGCCTTAAAAAAATATTGGTACAAAATGTCTTATTGATAATGGAAAGAATAAATTTAATACGCAAGAGACATTATATTTCATTTTGTTATTCCGATTCACAATCCTTGATGCTTGCTAAATAGATCAGCCAGAAATAGTCAGATATAGAACCAACACAAATGAGTAATACGTAACTTTATAACTTACCCAAATCATCTCTAGAACCTGGTGATTTAAATGGATTAACTTGTATATCTTGAACTTCAGTATTCCTCATAATAATATCTCTCATGGTAGCTTGTTTAATTAATTCAATTTCATCATTTGTATATTTTGATCCTTCATACCAAAATCTATCAGTGCTTCTTTTTCGAAGAAATTCTTCTTTTATTATTGCGGTAATCGTTGGTGGTAAAGGAGTGGTTTGGCCTTTACTCTCAGCAAACATTCCAATGATTGCATCTATCTTATTGACTTTACCATAGATTTTTTGTAATTTTGTCGCAATTGTCATGTTATTAGTAATGACATTAAAGCAGTTCACAGAATCTTGTGCGTCTGATCGAATACAACTTTGATTGTTGTAAACGCTTCCCGCGGGATGATATACAGCACGGAATGTGTCATAATCCGGAAGACCGAGTAAACGACCTTTGGTGTAGAGAAATATTTTAAGTACTATTAATGTGATATGGAATAAAAAATAAGACTGTGCATACCTCGAGCAATATCAATGGCTGCCAAATCATTTACACCAGGCATGTTTCGTAATGAACTTGAAAATGTTAAACCGAACTCTGCAGCTGTTCCTCTCAACATACTAACGATTAAATTATCAACACCACTTCCACTTGATCCTGAAGCTAAAGTTAATATTCTATATCCAAATGAAATATAGTTATATTATAAGCATACAAAGTTTAATTTGTGATATATAAAACTTTAATTACCTAACAGGAGTATAATCAAGTAATCCATCAGTATAGTTTAAACCTGGAGTTGGTGTTGGAATCCTGACAGATTTACCCATGAAATAAAGCCGATGTAAATGAGAATCAGGGAATTTAAAATTAGGATGAGGATCAAAAGGTTCACCAGTACATCCGTCGATGAGGTCATATGGTCGAATATTTGAATGACCATATCTGAATGCAACACCAGCAAAATGAGTTGACGTGTCAGCATATCGTGTTGGGTCATAACCCGAGTACGGTGGCATTTTAAAACCAAGCGCTGCAGGTAAAAATTCTTCAAAAATTACATGTTGATATTCTCCAATTACTATTTTTCTAGCATATTGAAAAATTGCCTCATCATCTTTCAATTCAGGCTTTTCACGTGCTATTGTTTCCGCCCAATAATTATGTTCACGAATCCAAAGTGTATGAATAGTGCACAATTGAATATTTTCTGAACAACGCAAGTCACCACTAACAAGCCCATCATCTGTTTTAATTTCTGGAGGCAAAAGATGAGGGAAAAGACCTACTTTACCAGAAGCTGGTGCGAAATTTTTTATAGATACGTTATTTAACTCAGTGTTATAAGCACCGCCATTTCCTATGAAATCTTCAGTAATTAATTTGCCATCTTTAAGAGTTCGAAGTTTTCGCGCTGTATCATTATCTTTGCCATATATTACCGATAGATCAAGGTAAGAATTGGCAAAATTGACCGGATACAAAGTAGAATTCAATACACGACCCCATGAGAGCGATAATGTCATGACTGTAAGAATATAAAACGAAAATTTTTATTACTATATACTAATTATTATGTATATGAATTAATAATTGATGCTTACATGGTGCTTGGGAAGGGTTAAATAAGCTTCTTGCTGTATTATTAAAGACCTTATCATCAGTAATATTACCTATCGCAGTTTTTGGCGTGTTTTGAAGAGCAGCATCTTCAAGATCGTGATTAATGAATTGACCAAAAAACTTAAAAAAAAGAAATTGAATTCGCCATGTGACATCACGTGAACAGTTCCTAACTATTAATATTATTTTCAATACTTACGATTTCGAAGACTGATTTCCGAGTTGAGGACAAAATATCATCGGTCAAAGGGCTTCCAGAAAATACAGGTTCTTGACCACTATCGCATAACATGTTTGAAATCATTCTAGCATCTATCTTTATTGCGGGCTCACCGGTAAAGTTATCTTTGTAAAATGCAGTAAAATTTCCTCGATCATAAACCCTATTTTGAGTTCCCCAATTTGAATTTTCAAGATTATTACAAGTTCCATCATAAGTTCGAATATCCAGATCTGTTCCATTACATGTCCACTTTTCTGGCACATTTGGTAATGAGTTTGGAGCGTCACTTCCATACGACTGTTGTGCATGAACAATTAATGGTTGAATTGTATAGATAAATAGACATATTAATAACAGTGAAGGAAAACTGTGTTTTTCTCTTATAACCATTCTGTAAAATTGGTGTTTTATGCGATTATGTTCAACGAGAAGGTGAAGCTGAATCGAATTAAAGTTTCTTTTTATCTCGTAAATTGATGGAAATTCACTTGGGATGATATTATTACTGATTCAGGGGAACTGAACTGCTTTTGTAGAATTTACTTCACATGTAATGGCTTAAAACATGAGTATTTATAAATTTATAAAAAAGATCAACTATTAATAGTCAGAAAATTACTGCTACCAAAGGATCAAATATAGTAGAGGATTCCATTAATAAAATTAATTATATATCAATTGATTTATAGCAGAGCCTCTATATTATATTTGATCTCTGCCAAGTTAAAATCTGGAACTTTGCAATTTCACTATAATCGATTTTAATTTGACGACACACAAATAGACAGAAAAAAAATATTGCAAATTTAGTATCTTCTATTAGTGAATACATATTTAGATATATTATTTATATATATACGAAATATTCGAATAATCACGTTAAGCTGATTTTATGACGACAATAACGATGATCATGATTTTTAACTTTAAATGACAAGGTATTACGTCACTACTGATGCTAAAAATATGCGATCGCATTTAAGGAAATTCACGTAATCTGCGCCCACTCACATAAATACTGTAAAAGTGTATATACAAGAACTGAGGTTTATTCATTTCGCTAATTTTAGTAGACTCCAGGTCTAGTACATGCTGAAAGGTTATATTATGAAAGAAAAAAAATTCAAGTGCATACATGCTTTGTATTTTGAAAAAAACCGCGTTTGATTGCACCCGGATCTAATTCATGGTGAGCCTACAATTTTGGGGGATCTGTATATGCGCTTTTACGGTAAAGATAATTAGCCAACATAAAGTGGGCGGAAATATGCGGTGTGCATATATATGCGCGGATCTGCGACAGCATAATCGGCCCTTAAATCTGATTTTATCGCATAAGCATATGCAATAGCTTATGATTCATTTAGCATAATTAAAATGGACGATATTTATGTGGGTTTCAATTCGGATAGATCCGTCATCCATTTATCCATAAAGTATAAACGGATAATGGATAGGAACTTTATTTATTATGTAGCAATATTGGTCAATGAACGCAAAACACGAGCATGGTGGCGGTGTTTTTCGGAGACAGTAATTTACCTGGTATGTTGTGATTTTACAACCCTGGTGACCACATATTTCGGAAAGGAGAGTCCCTAATATGTGCATATGTATACCAATTCTAGAAACTCTAGAATGAACGTTTTTATATAACAAACTTCAGGTCATATATTACGAACCGTGAAGTTTTAAACTTTCTATTTGTCCTTTAAGCATTACGAACAGGAAATTTGCACAGCAAACACTAAATTGGCGAAGTCTTATTCTGGTGGTTTAGTAATTCAAAGTAGCCGAAAGTTTCATTATAGGCTTATTTAAAGCAAGATTTTAAATTCAAGTTATATTTTAATATGTAATATGTGTATACTATGGTTTTGGTTCATGTATAGCTTTATGTGATCTTATAAGATTCTATTATTATTTTAAATATTTAAAGAGAGATGCCAACTTTCTAGAAAATATGGTTTGACCTGAAAAATGTCAACATTGTTAAGTAGTAATTTACTCTTGATGCTCACTATGTTTCATGTGCTTATTACAAATAAGATTATTAAATGAATTAATTCATTAAACTGTATCTGCAAAGTCTTTTGGCAAAAATTATTGTGAAATCTAAAATTATTAAAAAAATAATAATTTAAATGATGGCTAGAACTTGGAACCGGGTTGATTTTTTAAACCGAATTAGTGATCTTCAGCTTCGAATTTAAATTCGAATTACAAAAAAGTTCGATTATCTAAGAACAAAACCCGTTTTATTATTACAGAAATTCTATAAATGGTTAAATACTTTTGTTCTCTATGCATTCGTACGAATCCGAAGGCTGAATCCAGTTCCAAACTCTAACAATGATATGTTTGAATTGGTGTTAGGTTATAATTTGAACTTAACTCAAGCAAGGCTGCCAAAGCGAGTAACAGATATAGATACCAGTAATTAATACTAAATTTTCTTAAAAAATTTGTTTTTATGAAGTAGTTACATAATGATAAAGTGTAATACTGATTGAATTTTCTAAATAAATTGTCTTCTATCAGTAAGAATATTTTTTGTACATAAAAAAGCTTTGTTTAACATCAACTTCTGAAACAAGAAGCCAAATATAAATAAATGTCTAGCCTTTTTTTTTGTATGCACCTAAATCAAACTTTCTCCCATAATTAAAATTTTTATTTAATTTATAGTAAACGTCTCACATAATCAGGATCCGATAGTATAGTGGTAAATGCACCATGTTCGTTCCATAATTCAAACTCGATAATCTATCATTTCTAATAACTGATACGTATTCGAAAGATGTATTTATCAGTATATATATAACTATATATTGAGTTTTGTGCAACATGTGTTTGGCAGGTTCATTGGTTTTTCAAATCCGATAACCTTCTGATTTCGATTTTTATTTTTTTTTTATTTTTTTATTTTTTTAGTTTATGTTCTTTATTCTTTGGCTATGTTAGAAACGGAAATAGTTGGAGCCTGATGTTGTTTGTAATAAAGTCTGAAGAAGACGAAACAGAATTTAGGATTGTTATAGATAGTATTTTATTCTTTTGTTATTCGTCACTTTTTATTAAAATATAACAATCGTTAAATGTAATAATGATAAAGGTGTTTATTTTTATACAGATATATCAATCGAAATCAACGTGTTTCACATCGTAGGAGATACGTAAGAATAATTCAGCTACATATATCATTACTTACGCTATTGGTTTTCAATAATGGTCTATTAAATGTTGTTATAATTGTTGAACACCATAATGTTAGGATTAGGAATGACAATATAATAGTACAGTTTTTTAAAAAACTTGTACTCGAATCCCAGTACTAAGCTGATTAAGTTTGATTCTCAGTTAATTCATTCGTATATTATTATTTGTGGCGATTTATACAGCAGTACTGCCTTTTTTCCTATCATGTCACTTCAAATTGAATTTAAAAACTCAGCCAATGAAATTTGGCAAGTAAAATTATACCAAAATTTTGTCTTAATCAAATGGAAATTTCAGTATTTTACAATCGATTCTGTGTACTGGCAGTAAATTGATCTTTGCTTTGAAAATCACCATCCGACACTTTCCGATCGGGATAATTCAGAAAAAACAAATCCAATACCGGTTCATGTTTATTTTATTGATTGAATAAACCATTGAATCAATACTATTTACATATAAATATGAATCAGTATTTGAGTTTATTTTTGTCGAATTATCCCGATCGAAAATACCAGACGGTGATTTTCAAGGCAAAGACCCAAATATTACAAAATGATTTATACGTTTATACGTATAATGCTTCCATTGAAGATTAGGTTTTGCAAGATACATTAACAGCTCATTAGACACAAGATTCAAGGAATCTATGGTGCCTCACCAGATATTTATTCTTTGGAATGATTATGTGAGAAACTTTTCAGGAAATGTATGTCCTAATAGCGATACGTATTGCTATGCGCAATCAATCTCATTTGCAAGATGGCATGTATTTATGGGTTATTCGGGTGGTCCTTAATCGGGTTCAGTCTCTAGTATGTGCTCGACAACATGATTATAACGAGGATAACTATATGACTAAAACTTGCAAGGAAAATTTTTATTAGGACACGAATGTGAGTTCAAAAGTATGAACTACCGGAGTTTTTTTCATTTTTTATGTTACATCAGATCTTGTAATTTAATTGGTAGACGGAGAGATGGTATTTACATGCACAACTGTGGAAAAAGATTTATTATTGTAATCTGAACACCCTAGTGGTTTTATGCAGCAAATTATAGTAATTGATTATTTTCATTACTTTTCTGCATATATACAAGGACTATTACAATCAATCCCTTCTAAATGTACCCCTCGGGTTAATAGTAAAAAAGAAGAAAAAAAATCGATGTGTGCACTTATACAGGGTGTGCATTTATAGGGAGCAAAAAGATATAGAACTCTTGTATAAGATGGAATTTCAGAATGTCAATCGTGTGATTGGTGTGTCCAAAGCAACCTAGTTATTATACAATAAATGAAAATTATCAAATACATCCTTAGAATCCGAAAATTGCATATCTATTTGAATAAATCTACATAACTTTGCATATTGGGACACATTGTATATTATTAAGCTCGATCTTTAAGAGGTAAATTAGGAATAGTGATGTACATACTAATTAGAGGTGCAGACTTTTAATTACGGTATTACTTTTTAATACTTAAGTATTTACGTCTGATAAGCCTGCACCTCTAGTTTCTGATGTAGATCAATGCAGGAGCGTAACAGAAAACACTGCACGGGATAAACATAAGTTTAATTATTATTAATGTTAGTAGAAATATATAAGCGAATTAACACTTCAATTATTCAACGCAAAAATGACCACCAGTTTTTTCAAGCAACTCTCTAATAATTTAAACGACCTTCTTAAAAGTAGTGATGAATATAATGTTATCATTGAAGTTGGTCAGGAGCCAAATAATCAAATGTTTAAAGTGCATTCAGTGATCTTGAATTCTCGATGTTTGTATTTTAAAGATAAATTAAGCGCGATCACTTATAACGAAAACAATGTGAAAATGATTAAACAAACTAATATCTCCGTTGAAGTATTTAAAATTATTATAAAGTAAGTAATAACACCATATAACAATTTTAATAGCATTCTTAATGCGTAGCAATTTAAGTTAATATTAAATATAACATTTATAATATATAAAACGTAGGTACATTTATGATGGTACCATTTCTTTAGAAAGAGTTGACACATCAATTATGTTTGATCTTTTAATTGCTTCTAATGAATTTGGTCTTAAAGAATTGGTTAAGCATATCCAATCTCTTTTTATTGAGAACAATACTTCTTGGTTACATCTTAATTTTTCTCTTGTATACCAATCTAGTTTTAAAGATAATAGCTTTAAAGATCTACAACAATTTTGTGCAAATATTATTGCAAAACATCCAAATATTATTTTTGATTCAGATGAATTTCTTACTCTTCCAGAAAATATTTTAATTTTTATCTTGAAACTTAATAATTTACAAATAGATGAAGGAAAAATTTGGGATTATATTATTAAATGGGGAATTGCTCAAAATCCTTTTCTACCACCTAACATTGATCAATGGTCTGATTTAAATTTCTTGGCTTTGAAGAATACAATTCGAAATTGTCTTCCTCTAATTCGTTATTTTCAAATTTCTGGTGAAGATGTTTTCGAAAAAGTTCGTCCTTATCAAAGAATCCTTGAACCAACTTTGTGGACTGATATTATGTTGAAATTTATGGCACCAAAAAAGGCTACTTCTATTACTTCTATTTTACCTCCTCGTAATAATATTTTATCTACATCACCACTGTCAAAAACTCTTTATAATTACAATACAGAAATTAAATTTAATAAAACATTAGCATTAAAAAAAAGTGGTGAAACCAATCTTACAATTGGCAAGTACGAAGAATCACTTGTAGATTTAACAAAACTATTGAAAATCGAACCAAATAATGCATTAGCATTGAAATTACGCGGAGAAGCTTACCGTATGTTAAACAGATATGAAGAATCACTTGCAGATTTAACCGAGTCGCTAAAAATTGATCCGAATAATGCGACAACGTTGAAGAGTCGAGGAAAAACCTATTATTTGATGGGTAAAAGTAAAGAATCATATATAGATTTAGCTAAATCATTACAAGTTAAGTCGAAACCGAGAGATGCATCTGCATTAAGAGATCGTGGGGAAACTTATCGTATGATGGGCAAATATAATGAATCAATTGTGGATTTAACCAAATCATTAGAAATTGAACCAAATAATGCATTTGCATTAAAAAATCGAGGAGAAACATATCGTTTAATGCGTAAAGATAAAGAATCACTTGCAGATTTAAATAAGTCATTGGATATTGAACCGAATGATGCATTTGCATTAAAAACGCGTGGAGCAACTTATTGCATGATGGGTAGATACGATGAATCACTAGTAGATTTAACTAAATCATTAGAAATTAACCCAAATGATACATCAGCACTAAAAAATCGTGGAGAAACTTATTGCATGATGGGTATGTATGAAGAATCATTATCGGATTTAACAATATCATTAAAAATTAAACCAAATGATGCGTCAGCATTGAGGAATCGAGGAGAAACTTATCGAATATTAGGTAGATATAAAGAGTCGCTCGTGGATTTAACAAAATCATTAAAAATTAAGCCTGATGATGCATGGACGTTAAAAAATCGTGGTGTGACTTATCGTATGTTGGGTATATACGAGGAAGCTCTTGCGGATTTAACTAGGTCATTAGAAATTAATCCAAATGATATGTGGGCATTAGGACAACGTGAAATAACTCGTCGTTTGATGAGAACTCTGGATAATACGTAGAAAAATTAAAAGCTTTATTTGAATAGTTTATATATGTGACTTCTACATCGAAATTTAATCCAGAAGTTACTAATTGTCAATGTCATAGTATAGTCCGTGTTAAATGAGAATTAATCAAGCTTAGACTTATAAATAAATCCAGTCTCATTTATCTTTGCATCAAAGGTGTTTGTCATGTTAGTTGTGTGTCACTATAGCGAGTAAGTTTTTTAACAGATTTTTTTTTTGAACTACTTATAATGAGAGAACAACACATATATACATATGCGCAGGTTAACGCCTATAGTAAACATTAGTTACATTATGTCTAAGTGAATAGTGACTAAGGAAAGAGGTTAGTGATTTTCCAGATTCAATCTTTTATACATTGGATATGTAAAAAGGCGTCTCCACCTTCAGCATTCTGTAACAATAAGTCACGATGAGTCATTATATAATATTCGGTAAATGACATAATTTCTTTATTACTTATTCAATTCTGAAAAACATAAAATTCGATTTTATTTTAATATGCACATAATAAAATCCACAGATTCCTGGAAAATTTCTTGCGGTATGAATTTTCGGTTTGCGTTCGCAGATTCCGCATATGGATTTTAAACACCTTAAATGATTTTATACGCTTTATCACCAATTATATAAATACGTGCACTTTACGTATTCTACAATCTAAATTCAATATCTTACAAGTTTACGAGAAAAAAAATTTTTAAGATTGCTCATTGTCTAAAAAATGAAGTCGTTTAGCAGCTTCTTGATTCCCTAGAAGCGCAGTATCTTGATATCTTTTTTGAATCCATCACCTTGTTCATAACACATTCCTAGATGATATTTATGATCACCTTGTGTTGACGATGTGAATAATCTTAAGGCTTCTTTTGCATTCTTTTTAATTCTATTCTAGCTAATCCATGACCAGTTTCCGCGGCTTCTTTAAAATATTTATAAGCTATATACGGAAACCCTTTTTCTTTAACTTTCAACCCTTCTTTATATAATTTATAACCTTTAGCAGAATCATTAGTAACGTCTTGTTGCTTTAATGTTTTTTGTTTAGAAATTAATTGTTGACTATTTTGTGTCAAGATTGAGGATTGTGAATAGGAAACTGAAGATTTTGTTTTTAACAATATTCTTCACCTGAATAATCGGTTTTTCATGTTTTGCTATTCTTGAGTATGGATTGCAGTGACTTTGTTGATCAAAAACAAAACACAGTATTTTGAACAAAATAAAACTATTTTTTATTATATAGCACTATAGTAGTCATAATAGAAAAAAATTTATAAAAATGACGTACTGACATTGAATCTTCAAGTCGATGTTGAATTTGTTCTATATCCTTACTTCCAATATGCCAAAAATCGTCAAACTATAACTGTTTCAAAGCTTCATAAACACGCTCAACAAAAGGTCGTTTTTCTAAAGTTTAAGAATGATAAGATTGGCGCAATGAATTTTTAAGATACTAATACATATGTTGTGTAATCTTACCCAGATCAATCTGTAAGCATTCATTGTAAATAGAAGAGAATTCAGAAAGTATACAAGCATCAGAAGTTTTTGAAAAATTGTGATCATTTATTTTCGAAATATAATCGTCAAGTGGAATATCTGAAAGAGTGCCATTTGCAATATACCAAAAGAGTCTCTCTAAAAATCGTCAACAATTGAGACTCAACAAATCAGTATATATATTGATATGTATAATAAACTATAAATATCCGACTTTATAGTTGGTTTATAATTAGCTGTACAATAGACCTGAGGGTCAAAAAACCAATTCTTTCCTTGTGTCAAAGGATTTGATTTGAATTCTTATTTCTCGACAAACCAAAATCTGCAATAAGCATTCGTCTTTTACGAACTAATATGTTTCCATGATGCTAAAATTTTAAAATAATTAATAATAATTTAGAATGCATAATAATAAGTTCACTCTAAATAATAATTTTATTATGAAATGTATGAGATGCCAATAAAGCATACCAAGTCTTTATGAATGATACCAATTTCATCCAAAAATTTTAATCCATTAGTAATTTCTTTCGACATTTTTTCTTTAAGTAGTTTAAGATCACCACTATCTGCATATTGTAAAACTAACCAAAATTTTCCTGTTTTGTCTATTATAAATTTAATAGAAAGTACAGTTGCATAAAATAATAAGAGTGAAATCCACAAATATTGATAAAAACCTTCAGAAACGCCATAAAATTCAATTATATTTGGATGATTTTATTACTCAATCTTCCAAAATACTTAAGCTACGTCATGAAATGCCCAAGTTAATTATGTTATTAACCAAATATACCAACGAATTTAGTACAATAATATTTATTTCCTGAAAATAAGAGTTTCGATGATGGAAATGACTAAAGCCTGGCGTGATCATATAATTTTAAATCTTTAATTAGTATTGATATTAGCTAAATGTTAGGATGAAGCAAGGATTGTAAGTAAAATTAATTTTTATTAATGTCCCAAGATAGATCTAAACATCATTTTCTTTTTTGCTTTGTCGGACAAATTCGAGAACGCACAGTCTTTAGCCCACCTCCGATGATTATATGATGCCTGAAGGGCCGTCTGTATCATACGATAATTGGTACTTATTTTACTTATTTTCAGTAGATGAATAATAAATTGCTTTACATTATACACTCCTACCTTATTATAATTTATTTATGATCGCATATGAAATTATAATGAAGGCATGCATGGACAAATGGTAAGGCAAATATTACTGTATTAAACATTTAATTCAACAAATTCTTCGGGATCACCCTTAAATCCTTTTAATGCAAAAACCGATGGCTTTCGTTTTGTTTTTTCATTCGTGATCCGTTCAACTTTGTAAATTTCGCCCGTTGTGCCTTCACGAACATATTTTTTGTTTTTAAATTCTCTATAGTCAATAATTGGACCTTGTTATTGTGTATTTCCCTTCTTATGTATTCATGATATTCTATTATAGATTTTTTATGTTTCTGACTCACCAATTTTGTAGCATACTAGAATTAAGTGCCAGTTAGCAGCCGCAGCTAAATAATTTCCACCAATCATGCTACATCGTACGAATGATATTGATTTTATTAATGTCAACAGGAATACAGAATATTTGAGTCTTTGAAAGAATAATTCTATCATTCAAAGAATATTCATTTTATTTAGGTTTGAAATTTTAATATTATGTCGTTGTTCTTAAAAACTTTAGTATTAAATTAAATTATTATATTTTTAGGGTTGAGACGATTTAGACATGGATCTAACAGATAAAACCTAAATTTTGCGATTTAGACACAGATCACACAGTAAAAACCCAAAATTCGTAATTCTACTTTCGAATTTAAAAAGCTATAACTTAACTGGTGAAGAGTGTTCCAACTTTCAAAATAGGTAAGGTATGTAAGCTTGAGAGTTGGTCAAAATCCCAACAAATAGATCAAAATTCTGACAAGTTAGTTCACATTAGGTTAGCATTAGTATAATTTTGAGATTTTGATTTCAACTTGTATGTAAGCTTCTAGCACTTTTTTACATTGTGGATCTTCTTGTTATTTTGTTAACTATATACGTATTATTGTTATATACTATCATTATTTTCAATTTCTGCATTCTTCAATTCTTCTAAACATGACAAGTACATAAGGTAAGGCTTTTTAGTATTTTTTATGACTCAAGTCAGTTGTTAGTGTCTTTATTATTTAACAGTTCAAATATCTTCTTCTATTGGCATTATGCAATTCCATTTAATTATGATACTTATCTGTAATCAATTATTAAAAAACTTCTCTAAGAAGATTCATTTGAATGCTTGTATAAATAATTATTAATTTTATTTAACATAAGAATGAGTTTCTTCATATAAATTTTAAGTTATATTAATATAGTAATTTTCAGAGGAGTTATTTATAATATTTCAATATTATAATGCTTAACAATTTAAGAAATGATTTGTACTTTTGGTAATGTAATTTTATTATTCTCAAAGTTATTTTAAACAAAAATTGATAACACTGTACAATGTTTAAATGCATTTTTAATTAAATGATGTTTTTTTTTGTCAAGCATATTTATAATTTGTTTTACCAAAAGTTTGCATAATAGAAAAAAAATTTAACAAATGCAGATCAACTATATATTTAACAGATAATTTAGTAAAATATGAACTTCTTATATTAGTTGTTTTTATATTAAAACATTACTTTCTTTTATCTAAAAATAGATACAATTTAATTAGTTAAGTTTTAAATTGTTTAGCATTAAACTTTTAAACTCTAAATTACAATTTATATTAAAAATTTAAATCTTAAATTACAAACTAAGCTTTAACCTAAACTCTAATATAAATTTGTAGTTTAGTATTTAGAGTCTTAACTCTAAAAATTCTAATTAAAACATTTAACTAACTAAACTAATTTTTGTTAATTTGAGTTAAAATATATTTATTTTTGTACTTATAATTATTATATCTACTAATACAAATCTTTATTTATTTTTTATTACTTATATTAGCATATATCTATTTATTTTTAAATTTTTTATTTTTCTAGTTTAATTTTGCTAGTCAGAGTTTGAAATAATCAGTTCTTCTAATCTAAAACTATTTTTAATAAAAAATGTTAATATAAAAAATCTAATTTAAATTACTAAACTAATATAAATAATGTTTTTTAATTATATTTTAATATATTTTTCAAAATAATCATAATCTATATTCAGTACAAAATTAATATATTTTTTTTATTATACTTATCTAATAGCATTTAATATTATTATATTTTTTTTAGCATTAATAAATATTAATAAGTATATAAGTAACAATACATTATTTCTAAAATTAATTAAGCAGACAGATAATATACAATAAGTAAATATATTATTGTAAGCACTTTTTAAAATTTTGTACAAAGTCAAATATGTAAAATATAAGTAAAAAAATTAAAATATAAAGTCTTTAAACTATAACTTTTAAATAAAAAAAATTAAAAAACATAATAATATAGTAAAGTAGTTATGTTGTTGCTTTCAAGTAGCAAATCTAGAATTTAAATTCTAGTATTAATAAAAATTTAAAAATTCTTTCTATATTATAGTTAACTGTTTTCTGCTATTGGTTGGAATAATATACCTATTATTCATATTATATTAGTATAACTAAAAGGTTATATAATATTTGTACTATTATACAAAAGAATACAAACTAGTACTAGATAGTGTAAACTCATAATAAGTTCTTGTAACTGTATAAATTATAGGAACTAAGAAGATAGAAATCTATTTTGAAGATTTATAGTTTGAACTTTTAATAATAATATTGTAAAACTAAATTTAAAAAATAAAACTAGAACTTGTAAAATTAAATAAAGTATTAGTCTTTAAAAGAAGGTCATTGTAACTAAAAAAAAATTATATGTTAGAAAATATATAAATAAAAAATATATTTGTATCTACCTTTTTGAACTATTTGAACTAGAAACCTAATAGAACTTAAATTAAATACCAAAGTAATAAAGATATATTGTAAAATAAGTATTAGAATTAGAATAAACTCTACAAAAATATAGCAGTTTAATAATAAATCTCAATTACAAGTAGGAGTAAGTCAGTAAAAATGCATCATATTATTTTTAATAAAATTTTTTTGAATTTTTAAACAAAAATAATTTAGCAAATACTTAATCAAATTTAATAAAATTTTTTTTAAATGAATTCTATAAGTTTTTATAGTTGTTTTAAAAAATTTTTTATTAAATTTGATTAAGTTATTGTTTAGTTATATTTGTTTAAAGTTTTAAAAAAATTTATTTATAAAAAATATAATACATTTTTACTGACTCACTTTCAAGTATTGGTTTTGGTTATAGTATTATTAGGTTAATTATAAAAATAGAATATAGAAGGTTCTAAAAAATTTAATACAAATTTAAAGATTTTTTATATGAATGAACTAGTTTAAAAACTTAGTGATTATAATATATTTGTACTGGTATTGATTGGTAACAATTGGCAGATATAGGTAAATAAGTAAATATAGAAATTAGAATAATTAAATAAAGAACTTACAAGTAAGTTCTAAATATAACAAATAGTGTAGAATCTTTAAAAGAACTATTTAAATTAGATAATAATTAAAGTTGTATAAATGCCTAGTTGTATACTCTTTTTATAATTACTTTCTGTAGTTGTTATTTAACTATTAGCTAAAATACTATTAATAAAATCCTATATTACAAATATTTACTTTAATAAAACTTAAAAAAACCAAAAAATTTAAAAAATAATAAGCTAATATTTATAAATTATAATTTTAATAAGTCAGTTAATTTTTTTTTTAAAACAAGATCTTACTTATATCTTTATCAGTAATTTAAAATAGTTATATATATATATTATAGTCAGAGTTAACACTTGCAATTAGGACTAACTATTGAACTGCTAACTATACAATTATTATTATTTGTATAAAACAAATAAATTAAAAATTATATAAAAGAATAAAAGCTTATTATTTATTTTATAAAACTCTCTTTGCTGATCTTCATGACCAAATTTGAAGCAATAAGAAAACTATAAAAAATGCAAAAACAGTTAAGTCAAAGCACAGAAGCTAACTAAGCAAAAAAAAAGCTAATAAAAAATTAGTTATAGTCTATTAGAATAGTAAAATAGAAGAACAGCAGTATAACAAACTAGAAGCAACTCTTTCAAAATTTTCTTGTTATTAAAAAATTGTTTAGAAAAAATGAAAATACAAAAACTCAGTATTGCAGTTCATACATGTGATATATAAATTAAAACAGAATAAATAATAAGCATAATAAGAAATAAACAAACAGACATACAATTATACAGATAAATAAACAAATACAGACTTAAGAAGCAATTATATGGTTAGTATATCTGATTTGTAGAATTATAAAATAATGCAAAGAAGTGTTACATAGAAGGTTTAGGTATTATCTACAGAAGCTGACTGATATAATAAACTAGAAAAATATTAAGGCTTGTTTAGAAAGTTAGACAAAGCACAGAAGAAAACATTGGAGAGTTATAAATTAAAAGTCTTAAGAAAAGATAAAGAATTAGCCAACTTATTAGCACTGAGTTAGTACTAGACTGTATGTTTAGAAATTTAATAGAGTTATATAACTACTATAAATATGTGCAAGCAAAAAACAGTAAAAAACTAAGAAAAAGTAGTGATCAGCAGATAAAAAAGACAAAAGCAAACAGAAAAATGTTGCTAGAACAAGAATGTGGTTGTTTAAATTATAGTATTATCGAAAAACAGATAGCTAAACTTAAGTCAAATGAGAAAAAAGAGAAAGAAGATAGTATCAAAGAAAAAAGCATGCAAGTCAAGAATGCAATAAAGAATATAAAGTTGGACAAAAAGTTAAACATAAGTAAAAAAAAGAACAATAAGAAAACAAAAAAAATAAGAAAGTGATTGAAAGTAGAGAACAAGTGCAAAAAAATGAAGAGAAAGAAGCAATGTATATAGAAGAACTACTGATAAAATATAGAAACAAAAATAGAGTAAATAGTATTTATACAATATAAGACATTTCAGTTAAAGTTCATACAGCAGAAGTAAGAAAGTGTTTTTAATTTTACAGTAGAATTAGGTTTATAGGTTGAAAAAACTGTAGAACCAGTAAAGCTGTAATATTTTCAGTTGGATTTAAAAATGAAAAAAGAAAAACAATACTTGACCAAGCATGATTAGTATATTTCAAAAAGAGTAAAACCTGTAGAGTAACTTCTAGTGTCTTTACAAAAGAAGTGTTAAAGAAAAAAACATTATATAAAGCTATAGTTAAAAATATTTTAACAATAGCAATAGAAGTATTGTTGCTAAGACAACTTAAAGCAGTTAAAGCAAAGGCAATTTATATATCAGTAAACAGAAATAAGAACCAGCAAAAAACAGCATTAGTGTATTTTAAAATAGAAGAGAACCTTAGGATGACTACAAAAAGAGAAGTATACTACTACAACACAAGATTAGAGTAAAGTATCATAAGATCTTTTAAGATTGATAAAACAAGAAAAAAAAG